TTCTCCCCTGCAGGCCTGGTTGCCCCCAACTACCCTCCCCAGCAGGCCTGGTCTCCCCCAATTGCCCTTTTCGGCAGGCCTCATCCCCCCAACTGTCCTCCCCTACAGGCTTGAGTCCCCCCAACTATCTTCCCCTGCGGGCCTGCATTCTCCCCCAACAGTCCTCTCCTGCAGGCCTGGATTCGCCTAACTGCCCTCCCTTGCAAGTCTGGTCCCTCCCACCTGCCCTCCCCTGCTGGCCATCTTGTAGTGGCCATCTTTGACCACATGGGGGTGGCCATCTTGTGTGTTGAGTGGTGGTAAGTTTGTATATTACCTCTTTTTTTTTATATATATAGGATGGTTTTATTTTTTTCTCATGCTTAATTGATAGTTTGACTTATTACAGAATTCTAAGTTCATGATCATTTTGTCTCAGAACTTTGAAAATAGTGCTTCATTATCTTCTTGCTGATAAGAAGTTTGCTGCCAACCCGATTCTTATGCCATGGTATATGGCTTGACATTTTCCCCTCTCTAAACATCTGAGATGGTTTTTCTGAGATGATTTTTTTTTTCTTCATATGTTGAATGTTACAACTGACTTAAGATGAGATTCAACTTAATTAGTGTCCAGTTCAGTGTAATTAAGTTCATAAGCATGCCTCTAATGTGGCTGTTCTTTTACTTTTCAAATTGTAGGTCCCTACCCTTTTAAAAGAAATCAAGGAAGAAGGAAGCAATGGAGAGAAAAGAACAAATAGATTATAAAATTTCACAGTACTATCTGCAGTAGTTATACATATTGTTAGATAAAACATTTGTTTCATTTGTATACACGTGGTATGTTAAAAAGTACAAAACATTCCAAAATTTAGCATATATTTTCTCAGTGCCTGAAACAGCAGTTTTCACTTTAAAAATTATCTTTAAGATTATGTTTAAATATAAAATATATTTGAGTAGGAGAGCATTTCTACTTAGCTTTAATGTTTTAAATAAAAATTTTCTTTGTTTCTCCATGGCAAACTTTATTAAAATTAATAAGATTGTGGCTAATTTTGAATTACAAGAGTAAGGAATATCCTGAAGCTGCTTGTTTAAAGCCCTTGTTTGTTTGTAGATGGAATGCTGGGTGTAGGCTGGTGTGGTTCGTACTTGGGATCTAGCCTGAAAGACATGTTTTACTCTCAACAAATATCATCTTTGTTTGAATATCTATGGACTGTGTAACCACAGCAAGGTCTTTTTTCTCTCTCTTAGAATGTATCTGAAATGTCTTCTTTCTTGTGCTTGTTTCAACCAGTAAAGTAGAGCTGCCTTCCATTTTTCTGTTTTAGTTTGTTGCGGAATGTGTGGGGTACCACCTAACACTCTTGGTGTGCTTTAGAATTGTAAACTAATAATGAAAGCTTGGAATAGATAACTTTACTCTATGAGGACTGAAGCTGTTGTTAATTCCCAAGGCGAGACTGGATATCTAACAAATGGTAAAGTAATTTTTATATTAAAATTGTAATTTTTATATGTTTAATGTTCATCTTTCAAAATATACACCAAGAAAATGATCTACTGTCCATTTTGTTTTATGGGTTTGAATTTGAAACTTGACAGCTTTGAATGACTTGTTTATTTGAATTTGGAGTTGAGTTGTACAGAGTGACAATGCATGCTTTTTAAAAAATGTAATTCAGGAGGATACTTGATTTTTTTTTTTTTTTAACAGTTTTTGTGTTTAAGTGAAGTAATAGTCTTCTTAAAATGTTATAAAACACTTCTTAAAATTCTATAGTTGTCATTTTCTTTCATAAATCTGGGCTCAGAAATGTTTTCTTGTATCATTGAGTATTATTTAATCCAAACCTTTTATCCTTTTTAAAATTTGCCTCTTAAACTGAAACATTTTTATATTAAATGTACAATCAATAAGAATTATATTTGATTTAATTTGGCTTGAATAATGTAATAGATTTTTTGAATTTGAGAATGATATATGAGTAAGTACTAAGTGACACAGCTGTCATGTCTAAGAAGTGCCTGGAACTTTGTATACACTTACACACAGACACAAGACAGCTGTTGATATCCCAGTGGTCAGGTTTTAGGGCAAACTCTTGTTCTTGTAATGCAATTTCTAAGTAAGCAAGCAGAATGAAACCAAAGGAAGTATTTGAGTATAATTCTTAATAACTTCTCAACAATAGATTAGATAGCATGAAACACAATTTAACTGTAGCAGGCTTAAGTTTAAGGATGCTATTTCTAACTCTAAAGCTGACTGTTTCACAGTGCAAATTATTAAATAACTAGAGGCCCGATGCAGGGGATTCGTGCGCTGGTGGGAGGAGTGGCTTGCAGGGATTGGCCGGCTGTGGGAGCTCCACTCATCCTGGCCAGCTGAGCAGTTCTCCCACTTTGGGAGCACACTGACCACCAGGGGGCAGCTCCTCTGTTGAGCATCTGCCCTCTGGTGATCAGTGCATGTCATAGCAACTGAAGAATATGCCATTCTGGTCATTCCGCCATTTGGTCACTAGGTTTTTATTATATAAGACTGAGGTGTGTGTGTGTGGGTCTCCTCAGCCCAGCCTGCCCTGTCTCACAGCCTGATCACCCCCTAACCACTTCCCTATCAGCCTGATCGATGCCTAAATGTTCCCTGCTGACCTGATTGCCCCTAACTGCCCTCTCCTGCTGACTTGTTCACCCCTAACTGCCCTCCCTTTCCAGCCTGGTCCCCACCAACTGCCCTCCCCTGCAGGCTTGCCCCCTCCCGCCAACTCTTCTCCCCTACAGGTCTGTGTCCGTCCCCTTCTTTCAACTGCCCTTCCCTGCAGGCCTGGTCCTCCCCCTAACTTCCCTCCCCTGCTGCCCCGGTTACCCCTAATAGCCCTCCCTTGCAGGCCTGGTTGCCCCCAACTGCCCTCCTCTGCAGGCCCAGTCACTCCTAACTGCCCTCTCCTACAGGCCTGGTCCCTCCCAACTGCCCTCCTCTGCAGGCCATCTTGTGGTGGCCATCTTGTATCCACATAGGGGCAGTCATGTTTGACCACATGGGGGCAGGCAGCCATCTTGTGTGTTGGAGTGATGGTCAATTTGAATATTACTTCTTTATTATATAGGATTGTGCTCATTTGATGATCTTATTGACATAAATCCCTAAAGGTGGAATTGTTGGGTAAAGGATATGTCTGCTTTTAAGATTTTTGATACATAATATCAAACTGCTTTTGGAAAGATTTATAATTTATAACTCTACCCCCAGTGTAAGGTACTTCAGATTTTCCCACAATTTTGTCAGCTTTGAGCAGTACCGTTGCATTTTTTTTTATTTTATTAGTCTGAGGTAGGTGCAAAGGGATATTTTAAAACTTGTATATTTTTAGCTTTTAATGAGTTTGATTTCCCCTCCCCCATCCCATGTCTTGGCTTTTAAAGTTAGATTTTATTTTTGTCAGAGCTATAGTTGGTTTAAAGATTCAGCAGCCTGTAAGATTTGTTTTGAAAAATAGCTGACTCCATACTCCGCCCTCCTCACTGCTTACTCCCCTAAGCTGATTCTTTTTGTGTTTGCTTCCATAGTGCAAGATAACACATGTCTATTGCCATTTCCTGCTTCTGCAGCTTTAGGCATCATCTATTGGTTTCATGCTTTGGATGGAGGGTGAGGGTCTGTGCTCCCAACCTCTGTACATATATGCACATCCCTTCAACTCTCAGGGAGTTGATACCTTTAACTCCACCCTTTGTTCTCCTCAGGAATTACCATTTGCTAAGCCTTTGAGAAGAATTCTTCCATTGTCATTTCAGTTCTGTTTTAGGAGGAATGGATATATGTGTTCCACCTGCCATCTTTAATTGGAAGTTCTTTTTCTTTCTTTAGTCATCCCTGTTATAATGTAAATGCTTATATGGAGTCAAGACTGTCTAGATTTGAATCTTAGCTTTGCTATTAACTAGCATTGAGACCTTAGACAAGTTGGTTCAAATCTCTAAATGTCATTTTTTCATCTGTGTAATGGGATTAATAGAATACCTATCTTAGAGTGTTATAAAGTGCTCTTCACAGTAGTATCTGCTGTCTGGCAGTTTCTTAACTCTCTCCTAGGCACAGTAAGAGTACAAATATAGTTGTTCCTCCTATTGTTACTCTTGTGAATTTCTTGCTCATGACCTTGACCCAATCTTCTATTGGAATGCTTGTCTTTTTCTTATTGATCAGTGGTACCATTTATGTAGTCTGTCATTGATCTTTTATTTTTATTCATGATACTTGGTATGTATAGTCATATTCATACTATTTTATGTTATGATCTCTACTTTTTATCAGATTTGTGTTTTTGAAAGATAACTGAGGATAACAAAGAAGGGTGTGTGGTGTGTGTGTGTGTGTGTGTGTGTGTGTGTGTGTGTGTGTGTATTTTCGGGGAGGAGGGTAAAACTGAAGATTATTATAGTATTTGGGACATTGATATAGTATTATAGTATTTGGGACATTAACCTCAGAGGTTAAATGAAGAAATGATTATTTTCATCATGTAAGAGAAATACTTCTTTAAAAAAAACACTCCTAAAGTATAACTTGCTTTAGTTTTCTTTGTGGATGAGTTCCACTAATTTTTAAGAGCCTTCTTGAGTGCTCTTCATCATCTACCCAAATAGCTTCATCTGAAAACTTAAAGCTTTTACTTTCAGTTTCTCATTTAATACTCATTTCTCTGAAATTAGAACAAAATTGATTCTTGAGTGATAAGATTTATCATAATCCCTAAGTTAATGCTATGTTAACAAAGTTGCTTTTTTTCAATATTATACATAATATTGAAATGATATCTATGTTGATATTTTAAGGTTGTAATTACAGATACTTAACTCATCCTTTTAAGTTTAATTGATTTTTGCTGGTTTGTCGTCTTAGGCAGTATGGATTTATTCTATTTGTATCTGTTTTGTCAGTTTTATAATTAATTAACTTTATTATTCTTTAAATAATAGCTCATCTAAATTTGATCTCTCCACAGGTTCAGACCAGGATGTAGTACTCAAACTTGCCCAGGAGCGAGCTGATATAGTTGCTAAATATGACAGAGTAAGTATTTATATTTTCTCTTTGAGTTATATTTATTAGTAAAAACAACATATAAATAGAAATGGATTTGCTTTTTGGAACACTTAAATTACCGAACCAGTTTGTTTACTTCATGTGACCATTGAGATCCATCCTTTTTCTCTGACTTCATCTCCAAATGTTCTCTCCTTCCTTTCCTCTGCACTAACCTTTCCAAATTCTTGCTGCTTTCTAACACACCATGCTTGCTTCTCGCTCTGGGCCTTTGAATTTGGCCATTTCTTCTGCCGAGAACAGATAGGTTCTGTCCATGCCCATTCCCTTACCTCTTTCAGATCTCACCCAGATAGTACCTTAGTGAAATCACTGAGCACATTGTTTAATACTCCCCTTACCCTCTATATTCCGTATCCCCTTTTCTTATTTACTTTTTACCATAGCACTTATGATATTAACATACTATATATCATACTTACTTTTTTTGTTGTGTGCTGTCATTCCTAAATGTAAGAATTTCTTTTTATATACTTTTTTAAAAAAATAAAAATAATGTTTTATTGGTTTTAGAGAGGAAGGGAGAGAGAGATGGGAACATTAATGATGAAAGATAATTACTGGTTGGCTGCTTTCTGAGGACCCCACACTGAGGATCATGCTCACAACCTGGGCATGTGCCTTGACTGAGAATCGAACCTTGTGTGACCTTCTGATTCATAAGCCGATGATCAACCACTGAGCCACACCAGCTGGGCTTGATTTACTCTTGTGTTTTAAATAATTCCTGACTCATATAATATATAATTATAATAATTCCTGACTCATACTAGGTTCTCAATAAATACCCATTTTAGTCATAATTTATGGGTGCTATTAAAAATTGAACCTGGATCTGAAAATTTAAATTACACATTATATATAATCTCCATTAGCATTAAGTTAGTTATGGAATCTGGTTTTTGAGTTCAGGAAATCACAATTATTGACTATTTAATGTCTCATTATTTCCTTATCTCTTGAGATCTTTGGGTTGAAGCAATGATTTATAAGTGTCATGTTTCATATTTTATCACTTGCATGCAATTTTATATGTTACTAGAGGCCCAGTGCATGAAGTTGGGGGAGGTGTCCCTCAGCCCAGCCTGCACCCTCTCCAATCTGGGACATCCCTCTAACAATCTAGGACTGCTGGCTCCCAACTGCTCTCCTGCCTGTCTTTCTGATTGCCCCTGACTGCTTCTGCCTGCTAGCCTGATCACCCTCTAACTGCTCCCCTGCCAGCCTGATCATCCCTAATTGCCCTCCCTTGCCAGCCTGGTTGCCCACAACTGCCCTCTCTTGTCAGCCTGGTTGCCCCTAACTGCTTCCCGCTGTTGGCCTGGTCACCCCCAACTTCTCTCCAGCTGGCCATCTTGTGGTGGCAATCTTTGACCACATGGGGCGGCCATCTTGTGTGTTGGAGTGACAGTCAATTTTCATATCATTTCTTTATTATAGGATTTTTGTTTTTTGGGGAGAATAACAGGGGCATAGAATTAGAGGAAGCCATCTGGACTCTGCCCTGCTTTCAGAGAGGCATATGGGCAGGTCTCAACTCAGTGGTGATGTACTCAGAGTTTGTTTTAAGTTGGTCATTTGGAGCAGTAAAACTACTACTCATGGATGCTTGCATGCATTGTCTTTCCCCCCCCATGCAACTAATATTTACCAGGCTTGGCATTGTGCTGGTCCTAGGGATTCACATTACAGACATGAGTTAGAGTGGCCTTTGCCCATAAGATGCTCACAGCTTACTTAGAAGAGAACCCAGGAGCAGACAATTATAAAGTACTAGAGGTCCAGTGCACGAAATTTGTGCAAGGGGGGGGTGTTGGGGGGGTTATCCCTCAGCCCATCCTGCACCCTCTCTAATTTGGGATGCCTCAAAGGATGGCCCACTGCCCTAAATGGGCAGTGGGATATCCCTCTCACAATCCAGGACTGCTGGCTCCCTACTGCCCACCTTCCTGCCTTCCTGATTATCCCTAACTGCTTCTGTCTGCCAGACTGATCACCCCCTAACCACTTCCCTGCCAGCCTGATTGATGTCTAACTTCTCCTCTGCCAGCCTGTTTGCCTCCAACTTCCCTCCTCTGCCTGCCTGGTCACCCCTAACTGCCCTCCCCTGCAGGCCTGATTGTCCACAACTGCCCTCCCTTGCAGGCCTGGTCTCCCAACTGCCCTCTCCTGCTGGCCATCTTGTGGTAGCCATCTTGTGTCCACATGGAGGCAGTCATCTTTGACCACATGGGGGCAGCTATTGTGTATTGGAGTGATCTTGAACCTGCATATTACTCTTTTATTAGGTAGGATAGAGGCCTGGTGCATGGTTGGGGGCCAGCTGGTTTGCCCTAAAGGGTGTCCCGGATCAGGGAGGGTGTTCCCTTGGAGTATGGGGCAGCCTGGGCTAGGGGCCTGAGGTGGTTTGCAGGCCGGCTATGCCCCCCGGCTACCCAAGCGGAGGCCCTGGTATCTGGGATTTATTTATCTTCTACAATTGAAACTTTGTAGCCTGGAGCTGAGCCAAGCCTTCTGTTCGCTCTGTGGTGGCAGACGTTTCTGATGGAGTTTATTCACCTTCTATAATTGAAACTTTGTAGCCTGGAATAGAGGCCTAGGCTGGACAGGGGAGGTGGAAGGCTTGGCTTCTTCCATCGCCTGGGGCAACCCTTGCCTGTTCTCTCCAGCTCTGTGGCTGCTGCCATTTTTCCTGGGATTTATCTTCTATAATCGAAACTTTGTATCCTTGAGTGGAGGCCTGGGCCGGCTAGGGTGCCTGGGAAGCTTGGCTTTCTCCATTGCTGGGGAAAACCAAGCCTCCCTCATGCTCTCTGTGGCAGCAGCCATCTTGGTTGCGGTTAATTTTTGTATTTGCTCTGATTGGCTAGTGGGAATGGCTTGTGGGTATAACAGAGTGATGGTTAATTTGCATAATACTCTTTTATTAGGTAGGATATTCAGCTGCACAGGTTCACAAGATGGTTTGGTATTGAGTCTGAAATTTGAGGGATTGCTATAGACAGCTATATTTGGGGTTCCTGTACCAACAGTGCTAGGTAACAGCTTTAAGAATGAGAGAACAGTGACTGAGGACAGAGTTATGGCCACATCAACAGAGATACTGTGAAAGAGCAACCAAAAAAGAGTTCACCAAAAAAGAGTTGGAAAGGCATGAAGAGAACTAGGAGAGGTGGTGCCATGGAGGTTGAGGAATAAGGAGTGAGCAACAGTGCAGACTGCTTTGAAAAACTCCATTAGAAGAGTTTTTCTTCGTTTTTCACCGGTTTTAACAGTGGGAGATTACTTAAGAGTCTGGCAGGAATAGCTTCTGGGCTGATGTATCTGTAAGTAAAGAAGTAGAGAGACAAGGTGGATAGCCCACTCTAATGAGAAGTTAGGATGAAAAGACAAGAAATACTTTTTTTCCTAAGATAGGCTCACTCTAAAAGTTTAAAGTTTGATGGCTCATTCTTGAATTTCTTTCTTATCCTCTGCTGTTTCCTCCTTTGCCAGTATTTACAGGAACCCAAGTCTGATAAAAACTTAGTAACATGTGTCCTGGCCAGTGTGTTCAGTGGTTAGAGGATTGGCCTGTACACCGAAGAGTTCCCAGTCAAGGTCATGTACCTTGGTCGAAGTTCAATCCTTGGCCCCTGACAGGGCATGTACAGGAGGTGGCCAATCGATCTCTCTCTCTCTCTCTCTCTCTCTGTCTTCCTCCCTCCTTCCCTCCCTTCCTCCCTCCCTCCCTCCCCCCTCCCTCTCCATCTCTCCAACCACTTTTTCTGAAAAGCAATGGAAAAATATCCTCAGTTAAGATTAACAAAAAACAAAACAAACCAAAAAAAAATAACCAACCAACCAAACAAAAAAACAATAAGAAAAGCTTAGTTACATGTTAGCTGTTGCTGACATACAGTATCTTCCAAAGTTTGTAATTAGAAAACGGTGATTATATTGCCAAATATATAAATATATAAATATAAATATAAATATAAATATAAATATATATATATATATATATATATATATATATATATATATATATATATATATAAAGTTAAGGTGGATAGTGCCTTATTTCCAGCTCTTACTGTTAATACATTAAAAAAAAAAATTCTTTGTTTTTTGCCTTTTTATTTGAAAAATTACTCAGTTTTATAGATTTCTAATAACACCCTTCTTTGTTCACTATTATAGGGACGAGAAGGTGCAGAGATTGAACCTTGGGAAGATGCTGATTATCTTGTTTACAAAGTCACAGATAGATTTGGCTTTCTACAGTAAGTTGCATAGATTGAAAACTAACTTTTATTATGATGCTTTTGCGGACACCTGTTATATTGATTTTACTTATTTTTACTAGCACTGTTGTGAATAATATTCTAAGACTGGTGCGGCAACATGTTTTTTGTTATTGAATTCCCTGCATTTTTATCCTCTATCATCGAAATTCAACTATTTTGTAAGAATGCAGTCTTTAACAGTATTTGTTACATTTAAGTAAGAACATTTCGTGCAATAAATGAGTTGGATTAATACTTTGTCAGAATTAAATGGAAATTAATTTAAAAATTTATTTAAAAAATAATTATAAAACATTTTATTTTATATAAACTCATTTTTAAAATAATGAGCTATTAGAACTTTAGTGTTATGTAGCCTGAAATTGAGCAATGAAAAAAAAATGCCATTGATCTTCCTTATAATTGTATTCATGTTAATGTATTCATGTTATTATCAAAAAAATTTTTTTAATATAATTTTATTGATTTCAGAGAGAGGAAGGAAGAGAGATAGAGAGATGGAAACATCAATTTTGAGAATCATTGATCAGCTGCCTCCTGCACACCCCCTATTGGGGATCGAGCCCACAATCTGGGGATGTATGTGCCCTTACCTGGAACCTTGACCTCCTGGTTCATAGGTCAACGCTGAGCCACACCAGCTAGGATTTGTTCTCAAAATTAATTCCATTCATCCTGAATATATTATATAAAGGGTTGACAGATGTCTATACTGTTACAAAATAGAGTGGTTAAAAGGATTTTAACTCTTAGAAACATCCTACTAATGATGTGAATTTGCCTGTTCTGATTCTAGCATTGTCTAGTCAGGTTCCCATAGAATGGATACTTCTCTGCATTTCTGTGGTGTGTTTGGTTCTATATAGTTCAGTGATTAAGTTCTCATTCAAATGTATTTTTTAACTCTTGTCTACACTAATAAAAGAGAAAGATGCAAATTGACCATACCTCCATGATGCCTACCAGCCAATCAGGAGTGAGCATGCAAATTAACCATACAAATATGGTGGGTTAATTTGCATATACAGATGCCAAGTGGCTGAGGGATGGTCGCCTAGCCTGAAGCCTCCAAGGACCATTGCCGCCAGGGGAGACGAAAGTGGTGGTGCCAAGCCCTGCCCACAGGATCCCAGGACCATCACAGGCATGGGGTTGCTGAGACACAGGCCAGGCCTCTGACCACAGATCTACAGCTTTGCAAAGACTAACTCTACCAGGCTGCCCGGAGGCCATGTGACTAGGCCACAGGGTGCCCATTCTAAATATGACACAGAGAGGAGGTGCAGGAGGAAATCCAAAGTATGGGATGCAGGGGTTCAAGATTCATTTCCTTTGGGTTTTATCCTTTAGTCCTTTTCTTTCGGGCCTGGAGTGCAAGCACTGCAGGAGAGAGAGAGATGAATGAAGGCCAAATGTGGAAGAAAAGAGGTGACCCAGGTGAGGGTGGAGACCTAGCAGAGGCACAAATCCTGACTGTCGGGCTGTCTGAGAGGGGCGAGCACCATGGCTTTAGGGAAGCAACTGGCCAGGAGGGGGTATTCCAAGGGGTGCAGAGCAGTGCCACACTGTACCTCTATGAGGACACCCCACACAGGCGCTGCCTTTGCCAGCAGGCTCTGGGCGACATCTGCAAATGCTATTGCAACTTCTAACATTCTGAGCAAAGAACTGATCCTGTGCCCCTCATGGTACCAGGCTTGCTAGGAGTGTGCTGTTATCAATGCCATAGATTAAAGGCAAAAACCTGGAGAGGCAGGATGCTCCCAAGGGGCAAGAGGGGCAAGAAGGGCAGGGAGCCAGCGGGCAGGAATCTGCCTCGCCTGCAGAGAGAGAGATTCTGCAGTGGCCCCAAGATGCAGGTAGGTCTGGCCAAGGATCAAGGGGCATGGAAGAATGCCTGGGTGGAGAGGCATGGACCCGCAGCCCTGAGTGGAGGTTGAGGGGCAGCGCCACCTCAGTGGAGGCGCCACCTCAGGGGAGGGGTGCTGCACTGCAGGGTACCTGGCTGACTGATGCGATTCAGATCTGCTAACTGGGCCTTGCCCAGGTGGCCTTTGTACTTCAGAAGCAGTGACTCCTGCTCCCTCCTTGGCCCAAAAGCAGGCCCGCACCCACCCTGCACAGTGAGTGCAAAGCCTACCACCAGCTCCGGAGAAGTGGGGGCAGTAAAGAATGGGGTGGGGGACCTGGGAGAGGAAAGAGTGTGGAGTGTCTGCAATGAAAAGGTGCTTGAGAAAGAGGCTCAGAAGTTGACAGGAAGGTTTGTTCTGTTTGCCCGGCAGCTGCCCCTGAGGAAGGGCAGAGCTTGGCTCTGAGGGCTCCCTCCATGCTGATTTAAGTTCCGCAGACAACTGGAATTGGCCTCAGTTTCCTGGTCTGTAAAATGGATTAAGCATGTCCCAGTGCCTTTGCTGAGCTTTGATGGCCAATTGAGATACTATATAAGGAAGATGAGTGTAGAACTGAGAAAGAAAAGGAAAGGCGAACAACACAAAAGGAAGACTGGAGGGAACCTGTAAACCCACTGTTACTTAAATAGGAAATATAGTCAATAGTGTTGTAATGATGGTATGATGCCAGGTGGGTACTGGAAATATCGGGTAACACTTAGTAAAGTATATGATTGTATAACCACTATTCTGTAACTAATATAAAACCTGAAACTAATACAAAGTAATATTAAATGTAAAGAAATTAAAATAGAAGTGAAATTTTTATGAATTTCAAAGTTATAAAGGAAGGAAAGGGGAGAATAAAAAGTGTTTTTCATTTTATTACTGTCTTTTCAGTACATGAAAAAGACAGTTGTCTTTATATGGTGCTTTTATACTTTTCTAAGTCATTATCTCATTTGAATTTCAGGACAACTTAAAGACAAGATAATTATTCCCTTTACTATTATAGAAAGGAAACCTTGGTGTCTGGCCCCAATGAATCAATCGTCAAACCCTTATTGTAAAGCAGGGATAGTAAAATTTTCTGTGTAGGGTCATATCTATACTAATAAAAGCCTTGGGGGTAATCAGGCAAGCAGGGAGGGTAGTTGGGGGCAATCAGGCTGGTAGAGGACCAGTTAGGTGTCAATGAGGCCAGCAAGGGAGCAGTTAGAGGGCAATCAGACAGGCAGTTAGGAGTCAGCAGTCTCAGATTGTGAGAGATGTCCACAGGGATCAGGCCTAAACCAGCAGTCAGACATCCACTAGGGGTCCCCAGATTAGAGAGGGTGTAGACCAGGCTGAGGGACCCCTCCTCCCAGCGTGCACGGATTTCATGCACTGTGCCACTAGTTTATTATAAATAGGAAGAAGCCAGAGATTTTTATTTTATGATATATGATTAAATATTGAAGGAAAAATAGTTTTTTTATATAGTAATTCATAGCAGTAAAATAATACTCAGAACTTATTCTCTCCTTCTGTTTATTCTTCTTGCATTTAGACAGTATTTGGTTGTCTAATGTTTTTCTCAGGATAAAATAAGCAAATAGATAAACAGAAATAGTTCTGAAAGTTAAGAGAATATATGCTTTTCTTGTGTCTTCACTGGCTCAGTTAACCATTTCATGCCTCATGTAAAACTACTCTGCATACTAACAGTGTCGTGGAAGCTTTGAAGACATAAAATGATAGAAGACTCCATAAAGATCTGGACAAATAAAAGGTGTTATTATTATACCTAAAGGCATGACATTAGCATACCCAAAATGTTCTCCTGAGTAGTTATAACTAGAAGACTTTGAATTTCAGCAGAGTAATAGAGTGGAATTTAACTATGATGAAAATACTGTTCTTAAACTAACCCTCCACTTCCACTTTTTTTTTTTTTTTTAAGTAAATCAATGTTGGCCACCAACATGACAGGAAATGATGACACATTTGTGTGGGTTAACAGGCAGATCTGAGGTATGTGAGGGAGTTTTGAAGGAAAAATTGATCATTTAGCCTGGTCAAGATCAGTGGGTCCCAAACTTGCCTGCACATTAGAGTCATCTGGGAACTATTTAATGTTTTTAAATAGATTTCTGGGGTCTATCCCATATTTTGATTCAGCAAGTGGAATACAACTCAGCTGATTTTGACCTCTGATGGGAGTGAACCACTCTAAGAGATGTTTTAATCATAAAATGATCTAATATAGTACAAGATACATATGAAAAACCTGTGAATTCCCAAAAAGGATCTAGGAATTACCTAAATTCTCTTTTATCATTGCTGTGAACATCTTGAGTGAGTTTCTGGCCTGTACTTGGCAATCTAAAAATCCCACTCAGTTATTTTTATTTTTTATTTTTTTTATCTGTGTTGAGGGCTATTTGGCACTAGTGGGGAAAAGTCCGTCGATAATCTATCTTAATAATATTGGTTAATATTTATTGAGCCCTTACTGTGGGACAGGTACTGTTTTATGCTCTTTTAATGGATTTGCTAATTTATTCTCTCAAAAAACTCTGAGATAGGTACTCTTTTTTTTTTAAATCATTTTTTTACCCAGATGAAAATGAAGCACAAAGAGGTCATGCAGCTTGCCCATGTTGTGCTGACAGTGTCAGATATGGGTTGTGGACCTTGGCAGTCCTACAGCAAAGCCTGTGTTCTGAACTTCGGCATTGCACTCTCTTTTTTGTTCTCCTGTGTTTTTAATAAGAGCAACCTAGTAGAAGGCTTTGAAATGCCTAGAAACAAAATAAAAAAAAGGTGCCTAAGTGAGGGATACTGTTTGAACTGATCACATGTACTGAGGTATGCTCAGATAACTAAGCTCATCACTTCTTTAAAAACAAAGCCAATTGATACGAGTCCTCATACTGACACATAATTTTTTAAAAAATTTACTTCAGGATGAGTTCCAAAGCAGACAGCAGAAATGAAAACAATGAAGCATAGAAATGGATTTTAATGTAATGTTAGACTTTATTAAATTTCACTGAAGTCACTGATTTTTGTTACAATGTCTAATTTCAGTAAAACGATTTCTAT